TTTCCAACATTGCTTGTTGCTTTTTTTTCCATGTCTCCGAAGCTTTTCTGAAGTCGAATTTCCTGATTTTCTAAGATTTTCTGAAGCCGGTCCTGTTCTTCTTGTTTCTCTTGTTGTCGTTGGATTTTCAAATCTTCGAAAATTTTGTCTTGATTTTCTAGAATTTTCAGTAAGCGGTCCTGTTCTTCTGCTTTCTCTTTTTCTAGTCGGGCTCGCTCTTCTTCTCGTTCTTTACATAGTCTTTCTTGTTCTTCTGCCTTCTCTCTTCTCATATTCTCCATAAAATCGCCCAATAATTTGCTTACTTCTTCCATTTTCTTCGGTTGCTCCCTTGTACCAACCATAAAAATACTCTGATTCGGTCTAAAAATCTTCCAATCCACTTAATTTCTTCTTAAAATCCTCTTGAATCGCACTTCCGACACCAATTGTTACGGATTCCGTGGGTCCAATTATTTAAACTCACGATAAAATACTTAACGAATTTATTTGTTTCACTCTGTACACAACTTATACTATTTACAACACAACTTATGCAACTACTATTACTCTAACGGTATTTCGCGGTATTTTCAAAATTCAGACTTAGACTTCAAACTTCAAACTTCAAACTTTAAACTTTTCTTGTCCAACTGTCAAAGCGCGGGCCTTATATACCCCCTGGCGGTTGTTTCTAGATTTTTCTAAAAAATTCTATAATTTTCTTTACTTTCTGGCGAATGCGCCAGGTTCCTCAATGCACCGTTGCGGTTATGCAACCAGTAATACACCTTGACCTTAACAATATTCAAATAAAAACAGATCTAACCTTTCCCCACCACTTTATTTTGATAGATTGGGGAAAACGGCTCTAACAAAAAATATTCAAAATTTACTGTAGATTATGAAGCTGTTACTTATAGTATACCTTATCTAGGCAAAATTGAATAAAAAAAACTCCATTTTCTTATTTTTTGTTGCAGTTGCGCCCCCTAGTGGTCGTTCTACAAACTTGAGAATAATTTCCTGCAATTTCCCATAGCCTCTTTAGTTATAAATATTTTTTTTCGTAAACCCTACGGCTAATACTTTCCGAGATACAGCCGAGAGCTATTCTTAGTGTGACACCCTGTACTCATTAGGTATTTAAAAGACACAAGTGATTGGTCTGTGTGGACATCCAGGTCCAAGTTGTTGCTCAGGATATTAATAAATTAATTGACAGTTAGGATGATCTCTTTTTGGACCCTAGGTTGATCAAATTTCAAAATCTTCCTTTTTTGGATTTATTGATGTATATGCAAAATGTATGCAAAATGTATTGCAACGTATCCAAAATTTCAGCTCAGTCGGTTGAGGATAATTGGTTTAATTATATTTTACAAGATATAGCTTTTCCAAATTTAACAAAAAAATAATAAACTTATAAAATTATTTTAATAAATATTAAATTTATTAAAATAAAAGACAAATTGTACAATTGAAAATCGAGCATAGTTTTATTATTAAATATAGAATGTGTCTGATATCATGAATCATGGACGAAACTTGGAGCCAAACCTCGTCAACGTCAAATTACTAATGATATTTTAAGCCGACTTTGACGTTTCGCGTCGATGACGAAAGTCTGGATAATAACGCACATTTTTAAAATTGTCGAAATAAGCTTTCGGTCATAATACATTTTGCATTTGCAGTCTACTTATGATAGCTTTAAGTAATATTCTTGTATGTTACATTATATTTTTGATAGTGTGATTAGTTTCATTTACTTTAGCAGTGGGACTACCAGTTGCCAGTATAAAATATGACCTGCATAACTTTGGAATTCTTAAGAGACACAACTGACACTTAAACTTTGCTAGCCAGTAGTTGTTCCATATTCGTATTCCGCTTTTCTTTATATTGTGCCAGAAAGTAGAAAATATTTAAAAAAAATGTGTGTGTGCCTGGAAATATCCTAATCAACCTAAAACATTCAGATCTGTATCGAACTTGGGTTCTAAAATACTTTTAATAAACGCCTTATGTAAAAAAAACCTGTATCATCATCATCATCATCATCATTTTCAGCTTATTCAACCATTTCCAATTATGGTGTAGCCTCCCTCGCATATTAGATTTTTTTCTCTTTGTCATTGGGCCCATTGTTGTTTATTGTTGACTAAGCGGGCCCAAGTTATCCCTGCTAATTTCCTAATATCATGGCCCCATCTCAGGTCTGGCCTTGGTCAACTAACACTTTGCTAGCCAGTAGTCGTTCCATATTCGTATTCCGCTTTTCTTTATATTGTGCCAGGAAGTAGAAAATATTTTAAAAAAATGTGCCTGGAAATATCCCCCCCCCTCTCTCTCTCTCTCTCTCTCTCTATCTTAATTCCTACAAGAGGAATGTAGTGGTCAGGTGATGTGTGAGGTTTGTCTCCATAATTCCCTGTCTTGTGCTTCATGTACAAGAGTGTGCAGTGGCTTGTGGGTGATCTTTGATAGCTGGTCTATCCATCGGGAGGGCGAGCGGCCTCTTGGTCTTCTTCCCGGAACCTTGCCCTGTATAATGAGTTTTTCCATACAGTCAGTATCCCTCCTCATAACGTGACCGAAATAGTTAAGTATACGTGACTGTATAGAAGTTGAGAGGCGTTCTGTGATGTTCAATTCTTGGATTATGGATTCATTGGTTCGCCGGACAGTCCAGGGAATTCTGAGCATATCCTAAATGGAAATATCCTAATAAAGCTAAAACATTCAGATCTGTATCTAACTTGGGTTCTAAAATACTTTTAATAAACGCCTTATGTAAAAAACCTGTATCATTTTTTTCTCTTTGTCATTGGGCCCATTGTTGTTTATTGTTGACTAAGCGGGCCCAAGTTATCCCTGCTAATTTCCTAATATCATGGTCCCATCTCAGGTCTGGTCTTCTTCTATGTCTCTTAATTGCTTATGGGTACCATGCTGTAATTTTTGTGGTCCATCTGTTGTCCGTCCTTCTTGCCTGTTGTCCTGACCACTTGAAGGATTTCATTCTGTTGATGACCTGGGTCTCTTGTCTTATCCACTCTGTTCTTTTACGGTATTTCTTGGTTATTCCCTGCATATTTGGTTCCATTGAGCGTTGTGCAAACTGCAGTTTCCTTATAATGTCCGTTTTAAGTGTCCAAGTTTCGCATGCGTAGGTCATGACTGGTAGTACACATTGGTCGAAAATTTTTCTTTTTAGATAAAGTGGCATTCTAGACTTGAATATGATCGAGTTTCTTCCATAAGTATTCCGTGCTAACTTACTTCTTCTGTTGATTTCTGGTAGTAAAGATCTCGAGCTGTGTATTAGTTGTCCCCAAATGTACAGGGTGGTCCGAACTGTATTCCAGGAAACTTCGGCAGCATATTCTGTAGATAAAAATAGGTAAAAGTTCGTATAAATGTATGTCCAAAAATGCTTAGTTTCGGAGATACAGGGTGTAGAAGTTTCATTTTTATTTCGATTTTTCCAAATAATTTCTGAAGTAACGTCAATATTTGGATGAAAATTGGGGTCTGGGGTTTTTTTGACATGAGAAATTTGATTTTGATGTCAATATGACTCCTATTTGTAGGGGGCGCCACCTACATGTGTTTTAACTGTTTTGAAGAGTAATAACTTTTTCCCGTACCTGTATAAAACTACTGATCGAAAAAATACACATTTTCGTAGCTTTTTACGTAAAAATTATCTCTTGGTAAAAATCGCTACGAGCAACCGTTCTCAAGATATCTAGAATGGAAATAGCCAATACATGCCATTATTGACAAAAAATAAACACGTTGAGTAGATAGTTTCGTTTGGTTGTTTTGACTGAAATAATCAATTTGGGAAATTTTAATTTTTTTAAATTAATTATAATTTTTTCTGCGAAAAAATGATGATTAAACAGTTTCTGTTGAACTTTTGGCCCAAAAACATTTCAAATTTATGATTTCAGTCTAATAACTATTTAGTTGACATGTTTAATTTATGTCAATGATAATAGGTATTGATAATTTCGATTCCAAATATCTCGAGAACTATTACTCGTAGCGATTTGTACCAAGAGACCTTATTTACGTAGAAAACACCATAAATGTATATTTTTTTTACTTAGTAGTTTTATACAGGTACGGACAAAAAGTTATTACTCTTCAAACCAGTTAAAAAATATGTAGGTGGCGCCCCCTACAAGTAGGAGTCATATTGACATAAAAATCAAGTTTCTCATGTCAAAAAACTCCCAGCCCCCAATTTTCATCCAAATATTGACGTTACTTCAGAAATAATTTGGAAAAAATAGAAATAAAATTGAAACTTCTATACCCTGTATCTCCGAAACTAAGCATTTTAGGACATATATTTATAAGAGCTTTTTTATTTATTTTTATCTGCAGAATATTCTTCCGAAGTTTCCGGAATACAGTTCGGACCACCCTGTATATATTCTTCTACTATAGAAGAAACTATATACGGGAAGAACTTATAAGAAGAAGCTACTAATAGAAAAAAACCTGTATACCTATATCCACCTTAGTGTTGAATATTGTATGTTCCAGGTATAGGGATATAATAGGTTTAACAAACTACCAAAAGAAATGTAAATTGAGTTGGCAAAGTTTAATAATATGATTGTTTTTCTAAATATGGTTAGTAGTATATTTTACACTCAGAACGTTGTATATTATTTTGAAAAATACATAAAATATGACGTAAAAAAGACAAATAAATAAGAAAATTTCTGGAAACTTTCTAACACCTGATTCATCCTGGTAATTAATAGAATATACGTTTATATGTTGACTGACGAGAATTTAACATAATATGTATACCTTTGAGCCAGTTTTAAATCTAATCATTGCGACATTGCGTGAACATTTTCGTCGTCATACCGATGTTTTTTAAAACTTATTTTTTTATTCCATTATAACTTATACATCATTACGGGTTATTGACCAACTTAAAAAAAATTTTAACATGTTTTTTGTAGTAATACAATAATATTTACGTTTTCTAGTGCACGCCGTATTTTGAGAGGCCTCAAATCAAACGCTGATTACCGAGTTATCCAGTACACTCTATTGAGACACTCGCCCATAGCTAGGATTTGCTTGATGTGAGTAAACAAATATTTCATTGACATACCCAAGCTCGCGAGGTATTTGATCTAAAAATTTCACATGCATTGGAATGTTGTTTTTATAGTTTGATTCTGTTTATCTAATAGTAAGCAACTGTTGACAGATTAGAATAACAGACTTGTTTATATGTTACAGAGTTTGATTATATATTAATTGCTTCCTAATATGCAACTGAAAAATGTGTGGAATTTTTTGTGATGATTTAGATTACTTTTTAAAATTTTCGGGTTGATCAAGGACGTTTATATAACGGAAGCTACCTCTAGTATACCTATGTAGATTTTTTTACTTATCTAGCCGTCCAATGGAAGGTTCCATGACAGAGACAGTTTGTTGTCTGTCGTTTTAATTCACAAGTAAATTATATTTTCTGTTATTCTTTGGATGTCGTCTGTCGAAATCTTTCCTGGCTCGTTCGATAGACTTTAGTACTTTTCATAATATTAAATTATAGTAAGTGACATTCGTTAATAATATTGTTTTATAGTTACTCCTTGTGAAGTGAATTGAAAAACAACATATTTATTCTTTTTTTTAATTTTTTTTCTCTTTCTTCTTATTATTGATAATGAAAATTCTGAACTTGTTGAAGGTAATCATAATGATAAGAAATAATATATACTTCACTCATGAATTTCAAAATAGAAATATCAGAATGGATATATATGCGCTTTGCAGTAAGACTTCTCTTTAACTCTTATTTCGCTGCTTACAAAACAAATTTAGTCAACAACATTATACAAATAATGTCAGTAACTACCCAAATAACGTCAAAAAAGAAACATTTGATCTTCTTGCATACTTAACATAATAATTAAAAATTTGCTCTCCAGAACTCTTGCTCCTGTCTCTACAGGACTATTTCGACAGACTATATCCAGAAAAGATAGAAAATATAATCTCATTCTGATTTAAAGTCACATATAACTGTTACTGTCACACTATATGACTGATATCTGCACAAATACTTAATACTAATATTTTACATAGTTTTTGATAAATCCTGTATATACTTATATTCATTTTAGAAGAAGAATAATTCAACAGTGTACCAAGGTGACCAGGGTGATCCAATTTCGTGTTTTATGGGGTTTCTCCTTTATGAGTAGAAAAACAAAGCGTGTATACAGGGTTGTTCACCACATACGACACGGAGTATTGTAGCTAAACGATTAGAATTTTACAAATTGTAAGTTTTGGGTTCGTTGAAAAACTATTAGAGCTACAATTTAAAAATATTTTTACAAGATACACATATTTTTTAAAAGATACAATGTAATAAGTAAAAAATATTATAGTTGTATTTTTTAAATGGAACACCCTGTATATTATTCTATTTTTAGATTCTACGATTGAAATAAACGTAATTTTGATTAAGGTTTATCACACTTAAACCTTACCGTTTTTGAAATATTTTCAATTTTATGAAGTTGCAATAAAAATTGTAAGGCGTCATTTCTCCAACAGTAACGAAGTTTTTATTACTAAATATTTACTGAAGTTTATTTATTGATCAGATATTGTGTTGCAATAATAAACAAAATACTACTTTATACAGAGTGTCTAAAAACTTATATTAAATAATTACTAGCTTTAAACGGCAATAACTTGTTCAATTTAAATTGAACACCCTGTATATTTTACGAGAATCAGATGCACAATTTAATTGTCTATCAAATTGTTTTATACCATATTTAGCTATCTCTTCAAGTTTTCGTAGAAAATGTATTTCCTTATAATTTAGACCTCGTTTATCACTATACCCATGGAATATTGACATTTTAGATTATTTTTGATGTAACAAATTTTCAAAGAGTACAGATACTAATATTATCGATATAGTTCGCTTTTTTTCATTAAAAGATAAAAAAAGCTGTTTCATTATTTTTTGTTAAAGACCAATTAATATGATCCCAGTATTCCAACTACTTTAATTAACTGTTCACGAGAATGGCCACGGAACGCTGGGTGGCCAACAAATCTCTAGAATGGTCGAGAAACTCACCAGAGTAGAGCCAGACGAAAAGGTTCATTGTAGAACATTCGCGAAAATTCACGGTAGACTTGATAAGCAAGGACAGAAAGACAGTCAAAGCTGTAGTAGGTCTACTAACAGGGCATTGTAAGCTGATGGGATTGACAGACGAAGCTATATGTAGGTTCTGCCAATCTGAATAAGAAACGTCAGAACACATTTTATGTCGGTGTGACAGCCTGGCAAACGTGCGGTTCCCGGTAACGATAGGCCATTGCCAAGGAGCTACATGGAGGGTTCAGTCTCCAAGTTGCTAAACTTTGTGAAAAGGATAGGACTGGAGAATGTAATCTAAGGATCAGAAGAGGACCACAATAGATCTGAGAAGGTGGCAGTGGATCAGGCCGAAAGCCACCTGTAAGAATCTAATCTAACTGTTTACGTTGATTAATAATTACTTCAAATACTAAAAAAGTGGGTTTTGTATGTGTACTAGACAGTGTGGTAAAAAGTAATACCGTATAAATTTTATTTCATTTTTTGATAAATGCTGATTTATAATAACAGAGACGTTTATTTTCATAACTTATTATTGTCTCGATTTCTGAGTCAAATCCACATTTATTTAGAATAATTTATTAATTAAAACAATTAAGTATGTAATTAAATAATTTTTGGGCGGAAATAATGTTGGTATATTAATAAATTAGTAATAATTGGTATACTCTTTTACAAAGAGTTAAATAGTTCTCTTTTTGCAAACAAATGGGATTGCAATATTGTTATTTTTACCACCTGTACATTTTGTACATATGTTGCTTTAAAAAAAACTAAAATGTCAATATTCCGTGGGTATAGTGATAAATGAGGCCTAAATTATAAGAAAATGCTTTTTCTACGAAAACTTCAAGAGAGGTAAAAAATGGTATAATACATTCTGATTCACGTAAAATATACAGAGTGTTACATTTAAATTAAACAAGTTATTGCCGTTTAAAGCTACTAATTATTAAATATAAATTTTTGGAAACTCTGTATAAGGTATGATGTGAAAACCGCATCTTTGTAGCTCTACTCATAAATGAGGAAGCCTGCAAAACACACGAAAATAGGATACCCTGTACACCACTTTTAAGATGTTTATACTGTTAATTGAAATTAGATCTTTCACTCAATAATTCAATACTGACTTTACTTAAAGTATTTATCAGTATTTTACAATTGTAATTGCCATTTTTTATTGTTATTATAAGTTTATAATTCAAGTCGATATTTTTTTTGTAGTGGAGGCGTTTCCCTTTCTGGAGCTTTAGTAGTGTGGTTGACTCATATTGCCCTTAAGAAGTAATTTATTTTTTACTGCAAATATACTTTTTGTATAAATAGTATTTACTTTAAATAAAGTAATTTTAATTTAACTATGGCATTTTTAATATTACTAAAATAACTTTAATTATCCTTAATATTAATTGAAATTAATAATTTAATATAGGTCGTTATTAACTGTACATTCTCGAAATGTCAAAGTGAAAATTTTATTTTACGTAAAGAAATTGATATTTTTTTGGCAAGATTTCTAATTCAATGGACAATTTCTTAGAGTAAATATGCCGAGCTTGTATTGTTATATTTAAATTTGGACCAATATAGAGAATTCTTTTCAAAATTGAGCCAAATGCCTGTCCTGACGCAACAATTCTCTAAATAAAACCACATATTTTACATTCCGTTAATTTTTAAGCTAAAAATCGTGGCAAGAATAATCAAAATACGAATTAGATATTTCCCGGCAGTTATAGCACCGATGGATGGTCTTTTATCTTTAAACAGCTGTAAAATCTGCGGCTTCTAATACTCCGCAGCTAAAAATAGATCCCAGCTAGTACATTAAACAGTGCCATTGCCACTGGTTAGGTTTATTTTTGCATGTTATTGACTCATTGGCCTATAAATATAATTCGCCTTTTCGCCCTAAGTTAGATCTTGAAATATGGCGCCCGGTTTGCGGAACGACCGGCTGAAACAAACCGATTTTATGCGCCGATTATTCGGAAATCTCTGATTATGCCCGGGAGTTTTTCGTTTTTCCATATTTTTTTATTATAGAAATTAGTTCTTGGCAAACACTACGGTCGAATGTTTTGCTCGCCAAAAATTAGACGTCTTTACGAAAAAAATATATATATAATAAATTTTCCAAATTCATATACACGGTGGTAACTACAAAAAGTAAAGTAGCTATTTATGTATACAAGGTTATATCTAAAAAAATGTCAAAGTTAAAGTTCTTTAGAATTCCATTTTACGTATATACAGTAAGAAGGTAGAAGGAAGGTGCTTAGAAGGGCTACCTGAGAGGGTCCTGAATGCACCAGTGCTGCAGTGTGGGTTATTAGGGTTTTAAGATTTAATACAGGAAATTTTGTTAAAATATATTTTGTTACACAACGTAAAATAATATGATAATTACTGTAGCCTTACTGTTACTAATATGTGTACTATTATATTATATTACTGCAGTATTATTGTTCGCGCGCATGTCTTATGTATTTGTTGTGTCTTGTTAAGTTAAATAAACTGTACTCTCTCCTTGTATATTTTTTCAACATTAGCTCATATACGTATAGTTTCTAAATTCTAAAGAACTTTCTTCTTTGACATTTTCTATAGGTATTTTGTCAAATAAACCCACTTTTGAATGAATGCAAGTAAAAAGATTTTTTTAAATTTACCGCCATGACAGTTTTCACGTGATATAGGTCAGAATTCTTTTTTTTTGTTATTGGGCATGCTAAATTAATTCCGTGTAAACTGTTTTTCCATAATATGCTTTGTTTTAACACATACTTTAGATATAAACATATCTCTTTCTGGTTTATATCATTATAATAGAAGTATTTATATTTTCGAGTTATAGGAATCTATTGTATGAATATAATAAAATTTAGAATTTTATAGATTTTTAATCTACTCGGTAATTTTTATTGGGTATTCCTCATAACTTCAAATTGGCTATAAAATTTTTATTGCTTTGTTTTGTAAAGTTTCCAGTAATACATTTTTTATAGGAATGCATAGTACAGTGTAAAATATCCATTCATATTATGATGAATAAAATAACTTTTTAGTATCTTTAAGTGTTTTTTCTAATCGTTTAAAGGTTGATAAGGGTTAATTAACAACTTACAAAACTTAGATTACAGTTGGGGGTTGGAACCTTTGGTGTTACACAGCAAAATGAAACACTACATCACCACAATACACCAAAACACTTTTACTTTTACATCTGCTGATGAAGCTAACACGGTTAGCGAAACGCGCTTCCAGTGTAAAAGTAAAAGTGTTTTGGTGTATTGTGGTGATTTAGTGTTTTATTTTGCTTAACTTACAAAAAAGAAAAAGGAAAAACCAACACACGTAGAAAGGACCTCGTAGGAAGAATACTCACAAATATATATTATAATGGGCATTGCAGACAAACTAAAAAGAAGGAAGTTGTACGCGGAAATTATGGTTTTTCACTAACTCATTAATATAAAAATTTCCCGGTTACTGCAAACTTTTGACACACTTTAACTCTATATCAGTTAGAGAGAACAAAGTCTCATGTACTTAAATATTGTTGCTTGTCTTTACATCCACATACTCCCTGCGGGTGGCAAATTTTAAAAACAGGGTGGTATTAAACAATTTTTTTATATCTTTTATATACAGGGTGATTCTTAAAAATAAGAAAAAAAATTGAAATTTTTAAATTGCTTGAAAAAATATCTCGGTTATTTTGGACTTATATTTGAAAAAAGCCTTCAAAATATTGACACTTATTTAAGACTCACCCTGTATAGTATGATTGATCGCCGGGCAATTTATTTTAATTAAAAACAGCTAACCTTTTAGAACTTGAGCATTCATTTAGAAACTTTTAACGGATTGACGGAAGGAATTTTTGTAACTGGGTGTATCACATCAATGGGTTAATAAAGTAATTTGAGATAAAGTTCAAAGAATAAAGTCAAAAAGTCAAACGTACTTGAATATTTGTTGTTTGTCTTTACATCTACTAATGCTCTTGTCAGTGTCAGCTTTTATTAGAAATCTTTATAAACATCTTTAAATAAATACCTATAGCGCCACATCGAAAACAAGTCATCTGCGACATTCGGAAAAAAATTTAATGGATTTTTTTCCTCTACGTACTATTCGATTCTTGGCAAGGAATTGTAGAAATCACGTTAAAGACGTATGAATATTTTCCGAGAATTTCGAAAAATATATTGTGATATTTTAAAATTGCGATTTTTCTAGTTTTGAAAAATAGATTTTGTCTATAAATTTTTATTGTATTTAATTTTGAATTTGTCACTTTTGTTTTAACGTGACGTTACAACGTGAATTCAACAGCCGCGCCTACGTAGGCTGTATGCTTCGCTAAAATTTTACTTGTCCAACTTCTCGAAAGTCCAGCGTACATTCCACGAAAACCCTGATACTAATGATTTAGTGCTTTAAATTTACTAAACCCAACATTTTTAAATGGAATGAAATTAATAAGAGTTAAAGCGAGTTAAAGTTTTAGGCATTGGCAAAAGCCCAGTTACTTCAAAACAACGGCTGACAGATCACCGAAGTTAAGCGACGTTGGACTATGCGAATGGATGGACGGGTGACCGTCTGGAAACGCTGTCGTGCTTTTGTTTCACGACAAGAGTGTAAAACACAAAACACATACACAAGGAGAAGTGCGAGCGCCTTGCTAAATATTGGAAAGTGAAATTGACGTTTAAATTTGACACTGTTGACAAGTCTACTGCTACTAGGGCCCCCAATATCGCTTGTAGGAACTACGGACTAGATTGTCACGCATGGCGGGAAGTTTAAAAAAATAAAAAATTTTAATTCTTCATTTATTTTTAATTATGACATAGATAAAAACACAAAAAATACACCATTTTTTAAAAATATGTTTAATATCAATATCAAATATACAACAGAAATTAATTTCACCACAATAAATTAATAAAATTAAAAGAATAATGTTACAAGTAGATCAAGAGACAAAATTAATTATAACAAAACTGAAAAAAATGGCGTCATAGATGGCTTAGAAATAAAAGATATATCATAATTTTGAAAGTAAAATTATATGGGAAATGTCTTCGATCATCATTTTTAAGCCAACTGGACGATTATTTCAAACATACAAGCTGAGTTCGTTCATAGTGCTCTGAGAAATCTAGATAAACAAAGAATAATAAATTAAAAGTATTCCAGGGGAAAAGAGAGGAAAAACCTGTATCGTCTCTGATATCTGTCAGGGTATTGTTGAAAGTGTCATCTTTTTGCTCGAAGTTTTCAGGTCGATCAAAAAGATGACATTTACAACAATACTTTGCTGTAACTTTCACAAATATCAGAGAGAGTACATACAGGTATTGCCTCTCTTTTCCTCTGGGATGCTTTATATCTGTTGTTCTTTGTTTATCTATATTTCTCAGAGCATAATGCCGAACACGACTACAGTATATAATAATTTCAATATCCGAAGTGGAAAGAAAAAAGATCACCTTTCTGTTTTGTACTATGGTCCCTTTCTTCCGATGGCTCATCTCGTTGATATTTAGGAAGGATAAATAGGAAGGAAAATATAAAATTCAATTTGATTTGATGATCCTTTTCTGTCACCTAAAATCAGGAGAACGACAATGAGCATGTTAAGATGAAAAAAAAATTATCAACACTTACCTACACGTTAGTCCGAGGAGTTTTATTAAAAACCTATATATTTGCCTAAATAATTTATGTATTAAATTTGCAAAGCAAAATGCAGCGTGTAAACAAAAGAAATAAAATGGCGACAAGTCAACGTCAACGACCCGACAAGGAGAAAAGTGGTGTTCGAATAACAAATTATGGGTCACCAAAAATTGTTTTTGTCTCCTTTCAACGCACACTTTAGAAAGAAAAAGAGATGAACTGGAATACTGAAAGAATGTCAAGGTTTTATCTGTCACTCTTGTCAATAATTTATCGGTAAGGAAGATTCCTAGAAAATCGCTTGTAGTCAAGTTTTCAACCATTTCCAGTTCTCCCATAAGAAGTGTCATCCACCTGGTGTAAAATCTATTGACACACACCGGTTTGTGGCTGGATGAGATCCGATATCTCGTGAGTAAGAGTCGATGTAGACACGCCAAGTAGGTAGGCCATTGACAATGACATGGCCGAGGACCGCGGTTCGAATTCCGCGTAAACAAAGTAGGCTCCATCCAGATTAGCCTTAGCAGCAAAAAGGAAACATTAACTTAAAATATATTATACTGCTTTATGCTTTAGGGATAGGTACATTATCACTGTGATCTAACATCAGTAATCTCTATAACTCTGAT